AGCAGATGACCTCCAGAGGTCCCTTCCCACCTCCACCCTTCTCTGATTCTGTGGGATTTGTGGCCCTGGGCAGGGACATCTCTGTGGGGGGAGTGGGGATGAGGGACTGTGCACTGGGGTGGCTCACATCCCCATGCGCTCTGGACTCACAATTTCATATTCCCCGGACTCGTAACCCGTTGTCCTGGTCTTGCTGATGCTGTCAGAGAAATCTGCAAGAGGAGGAGCAGGGCGTCACCCCACAACACCCAGGGCGGCTGTGCCCTCCCTGGGCTCCGCTCACCCACCCAGGGTCCCCACAGCCCACCCTTCCCCAACCCCCTGCCTCACCCACTCCCTTGGTGCCCAGGCGCTTGTCCCTGAACTTCTCGTAAGCGGCGTTGGGGTTGATGATGATGTGCTCCACGCTGGTGCTGGTGAGCTCCTCCTGCACACAACGCTCAGCATTAGGGACGAGGCAGCCGCCAGGGTTTGCTGGCAGAGCTGCTGCCTCCCTGCAGCGCCAGCGGACGTCTGGGGCCGGCACTGGGGAGAGGATGGACGGGACCCGGGGGGGGGGGGGGCGTAGGCAGCCCCCTCCTCCCCAGGGTAGGGGCACAGCCCCAGGGACTGGCACACAGGGATTGAAACCCCGCTGAGGGCCCAGCAGTGGGGCCAGTGGTGCAAGCGTACACCTTCTGGCAGCCCCACGACCAGTATCAGGAAATCTGGCGCTGAGCCCACGCACGTCGGGGGCGGCCGCCAGCCCAGCGGGGCTGGAACTGCCCCACGGCCGCGTTTCGGGGTGGCTCCCACCACCCGGCGGGCATCGGGGGGGTTGCGGGACTTCAGCACCTCCAAGACCAAAGGGGACTTGCCTGGAGCCTGGCAGGGCGAGTGCGGACAGTGAGTCTGGGCTCTCCTCGCCCCCTGCTGCGGTCGGGGGGGGCCTGACCCAGCAGGGCCCTGCGGGAGGCACCCGAAGGACCCCCCCATCTGCTGCCCTGGGCCACAGCAGCCCCTCTCCAGCCCCTGCACCCGGCCCTGGCCTGAAGCGATTTCGGGGAGCCCTGGCGCGCTGGGGATGGACAAGAAGGGGGGAGAGCAGCGGGAGCAGCGCTAGCAACGTTAGGGGGGGCACCGGCGAGCGCCAGCGAGCAGAGCGCAGGGTTACGGCGGCCAACGGACGGGCTCTTACCAGCTCCTTGCGTTTCCCAGAGGTGAGAAAGTCAGAGCAAGGTTAGGAGGAGAGGGGGGAGAAAGAGACAAAAATCGCGTTAGAAGGTTCATCCCATGCACGGCGCGCCGTCACCCACGTCCCTGCGCCTAGGCTGCTGCCGGGGTGGCTCCGCCGGCCCATTCCAGGGCTCAGGAGCCATGCGGGACGAGGGGACTGACGGTGTGGAGGGGAGGGCAGCGGCTGCGAGGACGGGGGCAGCAGCGGGCCGGACCCCTCGACCGGGCACCCCGGAGCAGCCAGGACTGGGGGCAGCCGGGGATGCGCTGGGTACGGTCACCGTGAGGGCTGGTCAAGGTGCCCAGGGAAAGCGTGGCTGCAGGATGCGGCCGGAGTCTGGGGGAGACGCGCCCGAGCCCCCGCTCTCATAACGTCCCTCCAGCTCCAGCTCTTCTTTTCCCCTGGGCGGGGATGGGAGCAGAGCCTGGGGCAGGACGGGCCCCCACGGAGCAGCCCAATGCCTGCCAGGTCCCCGGGGCTCCTGCCGGTAGGAGGGAGGCATCGGCTGTGGGCCGGGGGGTAAAACCCCCACGCCGGTCCCTGCAGGGGCACGAGCTGTCCTCTGCTTAGCAGCCAGCCCTGTGCTGCGCTGGCAGCAGGGCTGGGGGCTCAGCGCGGCCCCTCTCACCTGCCCGTGCCCTGCCCAGCTCTGCAGCGTGCTGCAAAGCCTGGCAGGACAGGCTGCGGCGGGACAGCAGCTCCCAGCCCTGGGCAGCACCCCTCTGCGCAGGCAGCATCGCTGGCGGGGCACGAGGCTGCTGGGGCAGGAGCGCGGCGTGGCCGAGACCCGTCGTGGGGGGCCAGGGGGTCCCTGGGGGTCCCGAAGGACAAGCAGGGCAGCGCGTGCAGCCAGGCAGGGCAGATGCAAAGAGGACAAGGGAGAGCAGGGAGGCGGCAGCAGCACCACGTCGCACCCCGGGACCCACAGCCGCTGCCGGCTGTCTCCCCTCCGCCCCGCGCCGCGGTGACCCACAGCCAGCACCAGGCGACGCAGCAACAGGCTGTGCCTACAGGACCCCACGCACATCTACCGCATGCAAAAATCAACCCCAAACAGCATGCAAAACCAGAAGCAGCGACCGGGCTTACTTGTGCAAACTAGTGTCCAGGCAAGGTGGGGAGCAGGGAGGGGAAGAG